GGATGTTTACCGAGTATACACTATAGATAACCAGAGGTAGATGAATCCTCTATTAACCTAATTAGTCCAAGTTTGTATGTCAGACTGGTCGTAACTTGAGGGTCCACTGTACATGCACCGTGGTTTCAATAACAATACTGGCTCCCGGTAAGCCATATCTCTTGAGTATTCAGTTTTGGACCATGCTCTCCATGTGAATCTCGACTAAATCTGTTGATTTGCTTTAACAACAGAATGCAACAGATGTGACAGTCTGGAATCTGAGGCTAAAGCCAGTTAGCCTGTTACATTTTTGAGGGGATCTGCCGAAGATTTCAATAATTATCTGTGATCTACAGAGCATGAATTCAAGAAATATTTTGCTGAATAAATACAGATATCAAACTTCCAAACTTCCTATCCTGCAGGGAGATGTATACAGCAGAGTGTAGAAGCCTAATTTAACAGGTGTGTGACTGGCCAAATTTAAGACCATCAAAATTTGTCATATTTTGTTTCAGACATTTTGACATCAGTCAAAGGGAATGAAAATAATTTCTCAAGCAGTAAGTAGTTTTTGAAAGCTTTCTCTCATCTCTATCAGCATAGGATCACAGGAAAGGGGAGAAAACTGAATTCATGAGAAACAGTTTATTTTAGCCAAAAAATTGAAGCAGAAGTTACCCAGAACACCAAGATTCTTCCTCCAGAGCATGATGAATGAAGCCATCAAATCAAACAGGGTTTCCTTTTAAAACTATTCATGAGCCTAGGCCCTGTGGAGCGTTATCACTATTATTATTCATGCATCGTTCATCCTTACAATGAATTACAGATACTGAGTGAAATTGTCAATACTACTCCTCGGGGTGGGGGAATAACTTAGAAATTCAGCCAGCAACAGAAACCCACACTGGTTTCCACTTTTTTTTTCAACCTCCCACCAAATAAACACATTCATTATTTTTCTCTCTAAAGTAGACAATTATGTTAAAGAGTGAAATGATAGCTTCCCACGCCATTTCCACCTGATGAATTGCATTAAATAGCACAGAACCTCTGTCTCTGTAAATCAGCACATTGCTGTTTTCATCAGCATGCCCTTATGAAGAGGGCAAAAGTTATTCCCAGGACAGACAAATTTGCTCTGAGCAGCTCAGATACATAAATGTATTTGACTGTCGATGTGGGACACAGGTTTGTGTTTTCTATGGGGAGTTTCTTTTAAATGGACATTTCAATCTGCACATACGAGTACATGCCAGTCTCTGGTAGAAATAAAATACTCTTTGTTCAAACCAATTGGATTTGCTTCCTCTAGAAACACCTGCCTCAACCAATTAAAGTGCCCAGTGTGCTCAAAGGAATCAACCTTTACCTCCTGCCCTTTCCAAGAAATTTTCCAAGCAACAAGTCAGTTGTCCATAAAGAGAAAATCTGTATGTCAATAAAGCCATGAAAGACTTAAGCTTCATCATTAAAATGAGCAGATTTAATATCTAAGGTAATTATTCCTGTCCATCTCAGATTCCTATATTTAGCCAGCCCCAGTCTGGGAGACAACAGACATCCCTTGGAGCCCAGATTATCAGATGGATCAACATAACCTTTAGGTCTGATAATCATGCCAAATATTGAATATTTAAAAGTAAATGTTATTCTAATTAACTGCATTCACAAATGGCAGCAGTTTCTCCTGCTAAAGCTGGATTGAAGACTTACCCTCAAGACTCAAATCAGAATCAGAGCAAAATAAATCATGTGAGCACAAAGCCAAATTTATACTAGATAACAGTAAGCTATCCATGACCTTCAAAGGTCAGCAGGTATTTGGGCTTATGTATTTTGCTGTGCATTATAAGATTATGGTCAACAGGGAGTTGTACAGAGTCAAAAAGTTCTCCGAATCTGCAGTTACATAGCATAAAATTATGAGAATGTGGGTGGGAAAGAAAGATGGCTGATTTAACTCCACTATAAATAAACAATTGTTTTCCCTGAAATGATTTCTGGGGACTCATTGCTATAGTGTTAACCATAGATTTTCTATTTATTTACTCTTTGCTATTATTTTCATCACATTTGTATTATTTTCATTCATATGTGTATGAAATAGACAAATTAGAAAATACTGATTAACATAAAGAAATCCTTCACACACAAATGCAAAAGTCCTAGTGTTCTGAAATGCCACATATACATCTTCACACACACAGACACACACACATATATATTTATATCCTGATTTTTTATATATAAGATAAATATATGTGAAAATAGCAAGATTTTACATAAAATCTTCTTCTGTAAAAACCTTTTAAAATTAATGTGTTTCCATATAATTCAATGTATTATCAATCACATTTTAATAATGTTGCATTATACAAAAGTGCCATAACTGTGTATTTATCCTTCTATTAGACCTTAGGGGTATTTCTTGTGAACATGAGCAAACATGTTCCTGATAACTTCCACAAACTTTTTAGATTTCAGTTTTCTGAAGGATTCCTGGCCATTTCAGTGTAATAGCAGTACTTCAAGAAGCTGTCTATACAATCAAATCCCTCAGTGAACAACTTTTAGCATTGTCTCTAATAGTATCCTCCATTACTGGCAGCATGTGAGTATGAATGGCCACAGTTTTCCACTATAATGTACACTGGGAATTAGAGAAAAAGAAAAAGCACCCCCCATGATACAGTAGGATAACCCAATGAATTTATCCACATCCTAAGAGGTCTGTAAAATCTTACCTAACTTTAAACGCAGTGAAATTCTTCTCTTTCTCTCATGTATACATGTTAATTTTAATTTTTTTTATTCAGTAGCTACATCTTCAATTAGTGTTCTGTACTCATATAAATGAATTGTGAACATCCTGTCAGACTATTATGACTGCTGGGGCTACAAGACCACAAAGTTGGTTTTGGATTTGAGTGGACTTGGAAAGCAACCTAAAGCCATAATAAATAAACTATAAGAAGGACAATTAACATGGGGAATTTAATTCTACTTTAATATTATAATATTAGAGGTATTAATCCAAACATGCACATTCATGTTCCTATCTTGTTATATCTTTGTTTCAGTCTTCTGGAGCATCAACAAGAAGAATTCTTTCCACTCCATCTACCTCATCAGAAACATAGGCATATAATTTATTTTCTTGAGCTCTAGATTGAAAAACAACTTTCCAAACTCCTACTTCCCACTTCTGCTATTATGTCATTTGCTGTTTTTTATAAGTCTGTTTTACATCTTCCTCACTTAAATGTTTTTTGCTTGTCCATACCACACTTAGCAAAACCCCAATGATTGCTCTCATGTAACCAATCACACAAGCCGTAAATCTGGAAACAATTCTTGTTATCCCAGTTGTCCTCACATCTTACATAGGATATCTTTAAGCTATCTCTTTAGCCCAGTCATCTGTTTTTACATTTCCAGAGCTACTTTCTTTCGGCAGGCATTTATCATCTCCACAAATGACCAGGAATTCTAACTTGCTCCCCAAAATGTAGGCTCATCTTCTGCAATTCATCTCCCATATTATACAGATGAATAAAATATTTTCTTCTTCCTCCCTTAAAAAAAGGCAAGCTACGCAGGACTCTATCGAATACCATATTCTTTCTTTGGGAAAAAAATAAAGATAAATGCCACAAAAACATGAATAGTTCTTTGTTAGGTAATCAAATATACTTCTTTGTTTTCAATAAACAAAAGCAAAGAAAGAAACCTAATAGTTTATAAACTTCATTATTTCTGCAAGATACAAACAAATTAGGGCCAGGGATTTAACTCAGTGGTTCCACCACATGCCTTGCAAACACAAGGACCTGAGTTTCCCTGGTACCAAAAACAAAACAAAACACACACACACACACACACACACGCATGCACGCACGCACACACACAAACACCAAAAAAAAAACAAATTAGTTGCTGGTCCTGAGACCTAAGAGAAGTGCTTTTATTAGCTAACTCATTGTGGTGTTCAGGCTTCCTTACCAAAAATTCCACTTAACTTTCAACACTAAAATATAATCTCTTTTTACTGTAGAACTTTTTCTGATCCCATTCCTACCCACGTCCACAAGAGTTAATAATTCATTTTTCTGCATCCATAAGTGTCTTGGAATCTCTCTCTGTTTGCACTAATTATATGTATGAGAGTGCCTTCCTCTGCCCTAAGCTATGATCTTATTAAGAGAACAGACCTCATTAAACTTGTCTTTGTATCCCCATTAATAATGGGGCTAGTGAAAATATGTCATGATGCTTGGCAGTTTTTAGTGGGGGTAAAATATCTGCACCTGTTAGCATTTTTTGAATTCCAAAGAGAATTGAGGCCAACAATGACTCTGTTAACTAACTCTAATAATTTACATAGGTTAGAATTTCCTAGCCAATCTGTGCAGTTGAAATGAATTTCATTTTAACACCAACCATGTATATAAAAAAGAAACTAACCTGAGGAGTTTGTGCTCAAAGGGGAAAAAAAGGAGAACAAAGTAACCAATACCCTATCCCTGGCCCCAGTAGGAATGGCCCTCAGGTCTCCACATGCCACCTGGTAGGCTGTACATGGTCATGCGAATGGGATCAGAAAAAGTTCTACAGTGAAAGGTGTTGAACAAGTAGTGCTGGGTCTCTGACTGACCTCCCAATGTACACCTATAACACTGACAAAAACCATTCAGTCTATTAGCAGAGTCTAACACATTAGGGTTGTTTCTTCAATTCTGCTCACCAGAGCTGACACATCTTTCCATTGGTTCCTCTATCTCAAGACTGCAATAGCAGAAAGGGACTTGTGTTTCACTGGTTTATTTTTGCCCAGGTCTTTATCCAAAGTTGGGTAGGGGTAACACATATGACCTCACCAACATTTCCCATTATCCTCTCCGTGGATGCATTCCTCTTCCTCTCCCCTCTTTGCAATAAGTAGAGTCAATAACCAGCTCTTACCAGTGTGTTTGACAAGAATCCAGTTCTTCACATATTCTTTCCTTTCCCAGGGGCAACATCAACATACTGAGGCGAGAGTGTCACCAAATAAAAATACCCTGGAATATTGAGCCGCTATTGAAAATGGCTACCTTGAAATTTACCAAAACCTGCTGAAGATTTTATACAAGAAATAAAACATTATATTAAACTGTGGAAGCTGAGAGTGTTTATCATTGCAGTATCTAACATACTGACTTTTACGGGGGTTTTAACCACTATCACTGACTCAATTATCTTACTTTAGAAAAACCTAACTAATTAAAACATGCTCTAGGTGGATCCCCTTAAAAACACAAAATTATCATTTCATTCAACATGTACTTTGGACCAAAACTAGATTCATCATCTAAACTATTTTTTGCTCTATTCAAAAGAAGAAAATACAAACATGACGTTTTTAAAAATGAGATTGCAAATTGATTAACATCTTTTATTTTATTTTACTTTATTATTCCCATTTACCAGATGGTTATAGTGACTCATAGATCAAGAAGTCGTAAGAAAGACATGAAAATCAGGTAGTTAGGGTTTGGTTGAAAAGTGGACATTTTGCACATAGTCCTTCACTTGGAAAGATTTATTTGGAGTACAAGTTGTAAAGTATTTTTTAAAGAAAAAATTTTTTCACTACGATCCACAGAGTAACAAAACCTGAAAGCAGTCTTCAGGAAAAGTTGGCAGCTTTTAACTGGATGGAAGAGTGTGGATAACCAGCCTTACCTTTCTGTCATCATGACCAGATTGGTCAAGGAGTCAAGAGTGAGAACAATGTTTATGTCAGAAGGAGCAGACAAGCGGTAACATATACCCCCAAGTATAGAAATGTTCTATGTGGGAGAGCTGGTGGCCTTTAAATACATTTAACAAACTCTCAGCAGGTGGCAGATTCCACACAAAATATGAAGTGTCAAAAGGAACTGGGTGGCAGGATTTGTATCTAATTGTCTCTGCCATTTCTCACTTCCTGAGACCTCCTTCAAAAACAGATGTATACTCCTTTCATACTGTCTGCCCAGCATGGCTACCTGCCAGTGAGACTGTGCTGAGTGTAACCTAAAAAGGAAAGAAAGAAAAGATGGGTGGGGGGCTTTTCCTAAGAATTAAGCCTTGAAAAGGCAGATTCTTGAAAAAATAGTTTACTTTTCATTTAAAGAGGCCCTTACGAAGGAGTGCAGCTCTTGAGCACATTTATTGAGCCTGCTGAGGACCCTCACAGTAATGTATGGGCACTCACATTTATGCAGGTGAGTAATGGTTTACATCAGGAAGTTGGAAATGTGGATGTCACTTGAAATGTCTGCCCACGGTTTATTCAATTTTTGTCCATAATTATGCTTTTCAGGAGCTAGCAAATCAATATGCCTATATTTAGGGTTTTAGAGTTAATGTTCTTGGATCATATCTAAGCATATAACAAGAATCCAGAGTCAAGATGTTTAAATTCTCACAATAATGGCCTACACACATGGAGTTCTAGGACAGGCAGTTTTGCGTTCTTTATATTTATTGACTTATTCAGTTCTTCATAAAGTCCTAGAGGAACCTACTTTCCAGATGAAGAAACCGGGACACATAGGGAATAAATTCCCAGGGCATACAACTGGTACATTGTAGAAGTAGGGTTCAACCCTAGTTTGTGGTAGAATGTTCCCTGTTCTCTCCTGGGTAACACCATCGCTCATATATAAAATACATCTCTTAGCACATTTCTTTGAGATTTTACAAGTAAAATACCCCTTCACAGATAATAAAACTGAGATCTCAAGAAAAATGTTTTTTTCTAAATTCATGGAAAGCTAGTGAAAGATGGAGCACAAAGGCACACCAGGGCTAACAAATCCTGTAGCCTATAAACTTCTAGTTAGTTTACTAATCTTTGCAGCATTGCTTTTCTAAGATGGGAAACAAATGATTCTTAAAGGTAAAAATGTTTTAAAAAATCAAATACTGTTTAGGAATTGAAATGGGTGAAAATGATGAAAAATGGAAGAGAGGTACAAAGGTACATACTTTTTAAATTTTTCAAAAAGTTCTGATGAGTCATAGAGGTGATTTTAATGCATTGCTTCACAATACTTACCCAGCGCCACGACATCCTGTCCTCTAGAGAGAACATACACATTGCTGCTCTTTGCTACTCTCCTCTCTACCTAGGGAGCCAACTTGGTAACTCATTGTGCAGCAGCAAACTGAATACGATGACGGAGAAATACTCACAAAACATTGCCTTCATGTGTGCCTTGGCTCTAACAAAGATACAAAATGTGCAGTGATGTGATAGACGACACATTGAATTGAATAGAGGCCACAGGAAATGTGCCATGTTGCTCTCAAATATGTTTTGAGGTGATGATTGTAGACAGGTGGCTGTGTGTGATGTACATAACCTGAGACCATCAGCTTCCCTTCCAAGACAACCCAAATCTGTGATTACTCAGGAATTCCCAAAGTGTGACTGCCTGATAGTTATGTCAGCTATAAGTCACAGCCATTTTCCAGAATCCACATACTTGGATACTTTGAAGAATCAATTCATACACAGAAGACAGACTTTAGAAGTTGAACATGAAGCACACAAACAGCAAGGGAAAATCCAAGCTCAGGTTCTACTGCTGAGAAATTAGGATTTTAGAAAAACTCCCTCAATGACAAAGCAGGTTAATACTGTCACTTTATTATCAGAACTGAGTGTTATGCACAGCAGTAGAATTAAGGCCTGTAAATGAATAGAGGAATAAGTGAGCAAAACTTACGTTACTAGAAAAGTACCACTGCAGCAACAAATGTGAGTTCTCAAAATGTTTAAATGATGGTAAAATGTTGAAAAAACATAAACTTCAAAGATTCTATTATATACACTTAAAAATTAATTTGTTATATACAAAACGAACCCCAACGAATGTAAAACTCTGAGCTGTGAAGTATAAATGACTTACAATAGAAATACTAATTTTGCATGTATCTAAAATACTGACTTTACACAAATCTTCTTAGTAAGTATACTACATTATCAGTTTGTTGACCACAGTAAGGTTCAGGAATTTGCTTCATGTCACACAGCAAGTAAGCACAAGAGCCAAATTTAAGGCCTAGAAAATTTGATAAAGACTGTGTCTTGATACGTGGTTATTCTTTCTTTTTCCAAATCAATTTCATTTCTTAAAAAACCATATTAGTGTAAAACTATTATTATTCATAGTTCAAATATGAAGAAAGTAAGGCTTAGAATAGTTTGAATGGTTTATCCAGGACTGCATAGCATGTGTGTGTGTGTGTGTGTGTGTGTGTGTGTGTGTGTGTGTGTACTGGATAATTTCTTTTTGTGTGGTTTATCCAGGACTGCATAGCATGTGTGTGTGTGTGTGTGTGTGTGTGTGTGTGTGTGTGTACTGGATAATTGCACCAATCTTTCTTTCTCATACTTCTTCAATGATTCTCCATGACCTATAGAATAAAATTGAAGCTCCCTTATGATGGATAAAAAGGGAGTAATTAACAAGAGAACAGTCACCACATGGTTGATAATGGTTTATCCAGGACTGCATAGCATGTGTGTGTGTGTGTGTGTGTGTGTGTGTGTGTGTGTGTACTGGATAATTGCACCAATCTTTCTTTCTCATACTTCTTCAATGATTCTCCATGACCTATAGAATAAAATTGAAGCTCCCTTATGATGGATAAAAAGGGAGTAATTAACAAGAGAACAGTCACCACATGGTTGATAATTTTGGCTAATTTCCCTAAAAAAGCATTTTCATTCTCACTTATTTTGCAAAAGGTTTGTGACTTGCTCTAATCACGACCCCAGAAAGGCCCCTTTCTCTAACCTGAGTGGTGGATCCTGCCTACACACTCTCTATCGCCTTAAGCGGATGTACCACCTCTGCGTGCTTCAGCTTTTGTCTCAATAGTATGCTTTGCTAGTGAGATGGAAGGGGGAAATAATTTTTGTATTTCTTGATTGTGGTCTTAGATAGAAACAGACCCCTTCTCTCCATACCACATTGCACTGTCTTATTAACTGCTACTTCTTGTTCTTAACACTGTTGGATATCTCACTTTCATTAATATTGATATGTAGTTGTTGTATGTGCCAAGTGTTATTATACATCTCTCTATATATATTTATACATTTATAGAATTAGAAAAGTATTTGATCACAGCCCTTTTATTTCCTCTAAGTGTATCTCTATGTCATGATTTAAAATAGCAGAAATTTTTCTACTGAAACCCTCTGCAGTAGATTATATTATTCCTTGTCTCTCCCTCCATCCTATAAGATGAATCAGCATGCTTTGACCTTGACCTTCCTTAAGGGAAGAGTGCAATGCTCTGTTTCTCTGCTATTGAACTTGGCCCTCTAGCTTGTCTTGGTACATTTGACAAATCTGCTAAGCAGTACTTTAAATTTGATTGTGTTTATTCTTCTCTGGCCTCTATCATGAGGACGTGTGTTGGAGAGGGGTCCAAGAGTCTGGAACTTAAAACAAGGAACAGATCTGAACTTACAGCCAGAAGAAGTACAATTAAAAGCCATTGAGACAAGGAGAGTGAGCAAAAAACAAAACAACACAGAACTCATTTTAACCAATTAATATTATGAGGTTGTTTCGTAAATCACATATTAAAAGCTGATTAATATGACTTCCAACATTTTCCCAGTTCTCCTAAACTTCTTAGCAATCTGGCCTGTCCCTCCATTAACTGATCTCTGTCTTTTCTCCAGTTTTTCATTCTGCCTCACCCTTCATATATTACCATTAGTAAGATATTTATGTTGCCTCACCTGTATATTCCTTTCCTTCTACATCTGGTACATCATCCATGCACGTGGCCTCCTGAATAACTCCTAGTCCACATTTTCCTCTGAAGCTTTCATCAACCCTTCTTTGGCAAGTTTAGATATTCTATTGTAATATGTCCATTAATACCTTTAATATTCAGTGACAATTGTTATTGAAATGCTTATTAAAATCTAACATGTATTACATTTATCATGCAACACAATGGTGAATAAGACAGTATCATTCTTCTTGGGGAGTACACAGTTTAGCCAATAATCATCACACTTGGATCCATACATAAATTGTGTTTGAGTATCTGTCTG